GCGTGTATAAATACAATCGTTCTAATCAAACAGAACACTAATTCTAATAATAGACAATGTCTTTAATTAGAAGCATCGAGAGCTTATGTTTCACCGTGTAGAAGGACAAAGTGTGCAAGACGGAAATACTAATTGCGGCGTTTTAGCGAGGCTGTCGTCGATTAAATGAGCGCAATCGTTTCGCGTGCGAACTTGTCAGAGGACGATGAGATACAACCGCGCTGGGATTATGTGACACTTATTATCGCATAACTATATTACGCAATCATTATCTTTCGGATAAAAACATATGACGAGGTGCGCCGTTACGTCGCCGAGTTCATCGGGTGTGAGTTTAGAAAATCAATAACCGATGTTAATTAAAATTGCGCGTCACTTCGTTGTACGCGATACTTCTGGAAATTTTTATTGTGTCCTTCGTTTATTTGTTCATTATCACTATCATTAATTATATACGTGTCGTAAATGACTTGACAGGCATTCGTAAATCTAAACGTTACCGTACATATATAGGGTGTCTTAATTCTGCTGTATTATTCTTTAACGTCAAGGCGATTTTTTCATCGATCGATTTAAACAATTTTTTTTTTCAAAGAAAAAATTTATTTACAATAAATATTTACATTCCTGAGTAATCAATGCTCGAAGATAAGGGTGAGTCTAGCCTCAGGAAAGAAAATATAAGCGACAGCACCGGGACACCCTGTATAAGATGCATCGCTGCACAGCGCCGCTAGCACGTGATGGGAGTATTTGTCGTGCAGTGGTGCGTCAAGCAAGTTTTTTCACGTATGAAAATACGCGTTAGTGTTCGCGGACAAAACACAACCTGCCGTCGGGCGGTTGTGATTCCGTGGGTCATGTATGTATAATACACATCACAACAATCGCCATTAGTCGCGGCGAAACCGCCTCGCGTTTGCGGAAGAAGTTCGTCGAGCAGCATAACCTCAAAAAAACGCGATAATAGAAGGTCGTGGAAGAGGAAGACGCGACATCAGTTTTCTCGTAAAATGTGAATAGCGACGGCGAATAACGAACGCGATTCGGCGAATACGCGACGCGTTACACAACGACGACACAACGACGATCACTGTTGCGTGGCACGGCGCGCGCGGCGATCGATGCAATTAAGAGGAATTATTTATCGGGCTTATAGGCAGTCTAACCTACTGTCGCGACCGTTCGGTCGCCTGTCCGACGCGTTTGCCGCCCGCTCCGATCCGGCTGCAGCACGTCCGGTGATCCATGTGGGATTTAAATATGAATCGAGACGGACGTAGAACGCACAGAATCGTGTGAAATATATATGATACGTACGCGAAGGATCACAGCAACGAGCGATCATGGAAGTCGCGGCTACGAAGTTGGTGCAATGGTTCAACGAACTTAGATCCCGTGTGCACCTCTATCTCCACGCCCAAACTCGTAAGTCGTCTCCCGTAAGCGACATTTGTAAGTCGATGATAAACGGAGCAATCGAAAGTCAAGCGCCGGCATTAAACTCTAAATGTATACTCAGATATTTCCATGAAATTCGTTTTGCCGTAATTCGACGTCCGATAACTTGATGTTATCAAAGAAGTCTTTTTTTTCTTTTTTTCTTTTAGAACGGCAATTGTGTACACATGATGATTATTTTCATTTCAGTATTGATATCTAGACATTTTCTACGCGAGAGTTATTTAATAATCATTTAATGTCTTAGCAATTGAGTTATTTCATAATACACGAATTATATTAAACGACGATGATATATTCAGCTATATAAAAAATTTTTTAACTATATTTTCTTTAAATCCATAAGCATACTACGTATTCTTTGAATATATTTGGCTGTAGGTCAGCTGTAGTAAATAATAACTAATATTCACGATGTACATCGATCAAAACACATATCTTTTGTACTTTGAATTGTATATTTAAAGTTTCTTTTGTGAATCATTTGTAACCGAATGTGCAATAACTTGCTAGCATGCGCTTATTTCTTTTCCGTGATATCTTTTATCTCAATGTGATAGTAATTTCCCGGATGTATATGATTCATTATTATTTTATTTGCGCTCACAATTGTCAACGTAAAAGAATGCGCAGAAGTAATTTATGAAGTATATAGTTACTATTTTTTTATCAAAATCCAAACTTTTTCGATTTATTTAATTTTGACAAACAATATGAGAAGTAATTGTCATAATGCTTTATCTAAAATCTGTATTTTATTTCGGACGCGGAGCGATAGAGACAAATTGTTTGACATGCACGGCAATAAATTGAAGCTTTTCGCACAAATCGCATTCGATGCGCATCGCCGAGAATAGCTATAAACCGGTATTATTTATCTCTCAAGTTTAGCGTATCGCATACTTTTCTAGATTATTTGCTTCATATTGCTTATGTCGCGGTACAACTGTCAGTTCACTGTTTGTGGGTGGGACATTATATACGACCTGTAGCTATAAAAGAAATATGCGCGATTCAAATGTCATTTTCTCAGACATAATAAGCTTTTACAATTGGAATCTAAAGTAGTACGGCTTTTTTTTACATCGACCTTTGACGAGTGTGTATTTCTGTATCTGAAGATCAAAAGATCAAATATAAAAGCACACTTTATAAAAAGGTTGCGATCATGAACTTTTAAAATAAAGACATAGTTGCTTTACTTTCTGATAAAATATATTGGAATCTGGTAAAAAAACATTGAAATATTTACCGTAGGTTTACCGAGATGTGGATTTTATATTTACATAAAGTGAACGTAAGATGAATCGATTTCGATCCTGTTTCATGTGTTACAGTTGGTCCGATAAGGACGGAAAATGGTGGCTCACAGGGTGATGATCAACCACCTACGCAACACATTGATGGCGAGGAGAGGGTTATTTTTGTCAATGCTCCTCATCAGCCTGCAAAATACAGAAACAATCATATTACTACCGCGAAGTATTCGTTCCTGTCGTTCATACCTTTATTCCTGTTTGAACAATTCCGTCGTTACAGTAACTGCTTCTTCCTGTTCATCGCACTTATGCAGGTAGTCTATGCTATGCAAGTTAAAATGAATACTGGCAATCTTTTTGTAAATATTTTTTTGCGTATTTTTTAAAATTTTTCATACGTGCAATTATATTAAAACTTTGCAGTGTTGATAACATTCTTCGTAATTTAAATTTAGCAAATACCAGACGTGTCTCCGACAGGACGCTGGACGACGTTGGTTCCGCTGATTTTCATCCTCAGCGTGTCCGCTCTGAAAGAGATAGTCGAAGATGTTGTGCGTATCTTTAGATGCTAATTCTCGTTAATTGTGTGTCGCGCGACTGCGAATAAGAGAAATCTGTTAATTTTTAGAAAAGACACAGAGCGGACGACGAAATAAATATGAGGGAGGTGGAGGTCTTGAGGGATGGACGCTGGCAGTGGATACAGTGGCGCGCCATAGCCGTTGGCGATGTGGTTAAGGTTGTCCCCCTGTTTTCGTCAAGATTATTCATGTGGTAATAATTGCCATCGATTACATCCCCTTTGCTACAATCGCTTTCTTTAATATGCACAGGTTCACAACAACACTTTCTTCCCCGCTGACTTGATCTTGCTGTCGTCATCGGAGCCGCAGAGTATGTCCTTTATAGAGACCGCCAATCTGGATGGCGAGACGAACTTGAAGATCAGACAGGCCCATCCCGACACTGCCAATCTTTTGGATACCGCGGAATTGATGAATTTTCGCTCGAACATACAGTGCGAGCCGCCTAACAGGCATCTGTACGAGTTCCACGGAGTTCTACGGGAGACCAATAAGCAGTAAGAACACACACATGTGCATGTATGACAATCGCTTTGTTTCACTAATACACGCTTCTTTGCACTGATTCAGCGATTTATCGATTTAATTCTATATATCGTTATTTTGCTATGTATCAACATTTAAAGCTGAAATGTTCTATTACTTGTTAAATACTTGTTAAGTAAATTTTTCTTAAAAAAAGATTCCACTATTTGCCTTTAAAGTCTCGGCATCTCATTGTCTCGACAGTCTATATACATCCTTGCGTCACAAGCGGTATTGTTCTTTCACAGGAGCGTAGCTTTAGGACCCGATCAATTGTTACTCCGTGGCGCGATGTTGCGGAACACACGATGGGTATTCGGCGTAGTCATATACACAGGACACGATACGAAACTCATGCAGAATAACACCGCGACAGCGCCATTGAAACGATCTACTCTCGATCGGTTGATCAACACGCAGATACTGATGCTATTTTTCATACTTCTTGTGTTGTGCATTCTTTCCGCGATCTTCAATGTCGTTTGGACGAACGCTAACAAAGACGGCCTCTGGTATTTAGGATTACAAGGTAAACATACATGACACGTGCAATTTTGCAAACTTTCGGCGCGACTTCTTAAAATAATCAAGTTTCTTTCTTTTTTTTTTCATTGCAGAGCAAATGACTAAAAATTTTGCCTTCAATCTTTTGACATTTATTATTCTCTTCAATAATTTAATACCGATATCGCTGCAAGTGACGCTCGAAGTAGTGAGATTCGTTCAGGCCACATTTATTAACATGGATATAGAAATGTACCATGTGGAAACGGACACTCCGGCGATGGCTCGTACGAGTAATTTGAACGAGGAACTCGGAATGGTGAATTACATTTTCACGGATAAAACTGGCACTCTTACGAAAAACGTTATGGAGTTCAAGCGGTGTTCGGTCGGTGGAAGATTGTACGAGTAAGTCTTCTTTAGTGTACATTTCTTTTTGCTACGATAATTGACGCTTTGAATACCTGCGTTCTTAAACGCTGATATTTTACAGATTGCCAGATCCGTCAAATGGTCACGGAAGTATGAGTGATAGCAGTTGCGAATTAATTAAAGATATTATCGAGGGAAGGTCCGCACGAGACTCTACGAATCCTAACGATAAGAAGAAAGCGGAGCACGCGGATGTGCTTCACGAATTTATGGTCATGCTGTCGGTTTGCCATACCGTTATTCCCGAGAAATTAGATGATTTGTTAATTTATCACGCTGCATCTCCGGGTAAACGTCATTTATTAATGCTAGTATATTAGCACGGTGTGTGTTTATCTTATTCCCTTACTTTATGCTAGATGAAAGAGCACTAGTCGACGGGGCGCGTAAATTTAATTACGTGTTCGACACTCGGACGCCCAGTTACGTGGAAATTGTAGCTCTAGGCGAGACACTGCGGTACGAAATACTGAATGTAATAGAATTCACTTCGGCCAGAAAGCGGATGTCGGTGGTCGTGAAGACGCCCGAGGGAAAAATTAAAATATTTTGTAAAGGCGCGGACTCTGTGATCTACGAAAGATTAACACCAATCCCTTTAGAAACTAGCGATCTCGACCAAGAGCACGCAGATGATTTTCGTCAAACTACTTTAGAGCAGTTGGAGGCTTTTGCCAGCGACGGATTGCGCACGCTTTGTTTCGCCGTCGCGGAAATATCTGAAGATGCTTATCAGGTAAGTATCTTGCTTTTTAAATACGATTAAAATTGTCGAAACGTTCTACAATTTTTTGTTTTTTCTCTCGACAGTGGTGGCGCGAATCGTACCAAAAAGCGTCGATTAGTCTAAGAAATCGTGAAAACATGTTGGAACAGGCTGCGGATCTTATTGAGACTAAACTCACGTTATTAGGAGCAACTGCGATTGAGGATCAACTGCAAGACGAAGTATGGAATTTAATCTTCAAACATCTGCAAAGTTATATTATCTTATCGTGTTTCTTGCAATATGTAACTTGCTTATATAACTTTCGTAGGTGCCGGAAACGATACAGGCTTTTCTACAAGCTGATATCAATGTTTGGGTGTTGACGGGAGATAAGCAAGAGACTGCTATAAACATTGGTTACTCTTGTAAATTGATAACGCACGGAATGCCTCTTTACATTATCAATGAATCTTCTTTAGATGTAAGTGAGCGATCGATAAAGTTTTAAGCAGACGATTATTAAAGTTTTACTTAATGTGAAACTCATTTTACAGAAAACGCGGGAAGTCATCATTCAACGCTGTCTTGATTTTGGGATTGATTTGAAATGCCAAAACGATGTGGCTCTAATTATAGACGGCAGTACATTAGACTTCGCTTTGTCTTGCGATATTAGAATGGACTTTTTGGAATTGTGTTCAGCTTGCAAAGTAGTTATCTGCTGCAGGGTGTCACCGATTCAAAAAGCTGAGGTAACACTAATCAATTTTTTCACTCGTATGATAAAATCTAATCGCTTATCTATACTGCAATATTATAATCCTTTTTTAGGTTGTTGATTTAATCACGAGTAACAAGAAAGCTGTGACTCTTGCAATTGGAGATGGCGCAAATGATGTGGCTATGATACAAAAAGCTCACATTGGTATCGGTAAGTTTTGTCGCATACGACGAAACTTTCCATCGAATATTTTTGATTATTAAAATATCGTGATATATATATTTTTTTTTGTAGGCATCTCAGGTGTGGAAGGTCTTCAAGCAGCCTGTGCCTCTGACTATTCCATTGCACAGTTTCGTTATCTGAAACGTTTATTGTTTGTTCACGGTTCTTGGAATTATAGCAGAATGTGTAAATTAATCTTATACTCGTTTTACAAGAATATTTGTCTATACGTCATCGAATTATGGTTTGCAATTTATTCCGGCTGGTCCGGACAGATTCTGTTTGAAAGATGGTCTATTGGACTTTACAATGTGGTAAGTTTTAAAAAAATCATTCCGATATTTTTTTTTACCAAAAAATAAAATTAACTTTTAATGATTGTATTTTTTCTAGGTTTTTACCGCTGCGCCTCCATTAGCTATGGGTCTTTTTGATAAAGTGTGTTCCGCCGAAACTCACTTAGCTCATCCGGGATTGTACGCAACGAAGAATAACGGTGAATCATTCTTTAACATTAAGGTAAATTATATTTTTACACCAATAGTGACAAATTTAGAGAACAGCGACTTTTGAAATAATGTATTGTCAAAAATAAATTTCTACATTCGGCAAAATATATCTGTTCTCAAACAGGTGTTTTGGGTATGGATTATAAATGCGTTAATTCATTCGTCGCTACTTTATTGGCTGCCACTTATGGCTCTCAAACAAGATGTAGCATGGGCGAACGGCAGAGACGGCGGTTATCTTTTGTTAGGCAACTTTGTCTATACTGTAAGTATTATGCAATAATCTCCACATTGTGTAATTCTATAAGACAGATTTATGGAAGTTCTTGTGAAACAAGACAGAGTTATGAACATGTTATGTTTTTCCTCAGTACGTTGTAGTAACAGTATGTGCGAAGGCAGGTCTAATAATAAATTCGTGGACATGGGTCACTCATTTAGCGACTTGGGGATCTATTATACTCTGGTTCTTATTTATTTTTATATATAGGTAAGATTTTCTATATTATTAACTTTATTACTTTTGGCGGATTAGTGACGCGTAATATTTAACACGTTTTTCATCATTGCAGTAATTTTTGGCCCGTCTTGAATGTCGGTGCTGTAATGCTAGGCAATGACAGGATGTTGTTTTCTTCGCCCGTTTTCTGGCTGGGACTTATATTAATTCCAACGGCAGTATTGCTTCTGGATATTACAGTAAAAGCGTGAGTACAATTGCGACCAAATGACCGTATGCGTATCTCTTTCATACTTAAAAGTAACTGTTTTTATCGCGTCAGAGTGAAGAATACAGTATGGAAATCGGTAACAGAAGCAGCTCGAGAAAACGAAATTAGAAAATCTGATCCTGGAGACATCTTCAATAATCAGGATTACAGAAGCTCGTAAGTACTTGCCCTTTCTTTCATTTTTGATTAACATTTAGGGAATATAAATAAGAAAGGTGCTTTCTAACATTTAATTCAAGGATGTAACGTGAAAATTGCATATTATTATTATAATATATAACCGACGATTGAAATCTGAGAGATGAAGTATCCATATATCATTAATTTGTTTAGTTATTTTTGAAAATTTTTACTGCAAAAAGGGATACCCATCATTAGCGCATGAACCATTCTAATAACCATATATGTTCTATTGTGTTGATTTCTTAAAACTGACTATGCATGGCTTTCTAGGTCTTAGTTCCATTATTGCGTACTATTTATACTTGAGGACAAATTTACATTGCGTGGATGGTCTGACTAACCTTGAACAAAAATTTATTTTTCGATATCTTTAAGTGCATGTATGTAACAACTGTTCGAACTAATCGTTACTAACCGTTAATTCACAAGTTTCCTAAAATAACATTGCCATTTGTATGCTCGCTTACGTATTGATTGTTAACCAGAGTGTGTTCTTAAAGATTAAAGTTTTATTCTATTAGAAGTTTTTACTCTACTTGCTCTGTTAATAGCGTAAAGTAATTTACGTCGCCTTCTAATTGAGTCGTTAAATATGAATTACGACAGGAGATCGAGATCGATGAAGCGATGGCTCAGTCGTTGGGTCTTGATCTGTTCGCGACGAAGACACAATAGACTGAGAGCGTTTCCGTTTGTAGCACGTGGCTCGTGGCTCGCGCATCGTTCCGAGCATGCATCATCCGCATCACTTCAAATCCCGTACTCCTGAAATAACGATATCCATCCAATATATTCCCATTCTTCAAGAGTGCCAAAATCCAGTAAGCGTTTTACTATGTATGATTATCTTATCTATATCACTCCGATACGATCAAATATCAAGGTTTGATTGCGGCTACACAATCATTGATTCAGTAATTCAGTAATACTTTGTAAATAGAAAAAGGGACGTAAATGCAATCGACGCTTGATGCGTTTGGTGGCAAATAGCAATTAAACATTCCTCTCAAATACAACGATTGTAATATTAAGATTAATGCGGTAAATCTTGTACGATATTAAAATGTTCGGTGCTATTTTTCGAATGTATACATGCACTGTTAATCACTTGTCACGCATCTGCGTGAGCTCAAAAATACTTATATTTTTGAATTGAGAAAGAGTTTTTATCTTATATATCAGTTTAAAATTCAGATTTACACACATGTATTTCTTATATTTTTTATGATATTTACTATGATATTGAAAAAATGCAATTGTAATTATTCAATAATTATAGATATAATTGTTACTATTGTGATAATTTAATTCAAATGTTTTTTTCTTTATTGTTTTTTATATGTACAATAGAACCTCTCGTACAATTTTCTCTTGACTCGTTCTTGAAGTTATTTGTATTATATTATTTTAAGGTTTTTCCAGGAAGAAATAATATGATATAATACATAATAATAACAATACGCAGGTTCCACTGTATGTATATATGATATAGTTTTTGTTGTGTGTTATATATTGTTAGTATTATTATTAATAGCATGTCTTCTATTTTAAATTAAAAATTTTTTATGACATTTTTTATATTCTCGATTACTTAACAGAATCAATCGATGTCCACCTTTCTGTCTACATGCGATAAAATTGTACGCTAAATTATTGTAATTTTAATCAAGTTTAATTTGAATGAAAAATCAATCCCATATTTCTCAATCCTGTATACATACGTGCACAAAAACGATTTCAATCGAGTTAGATTATTCAGCCAAACGTTAGCAATATTGGCAGATTGACAGTAAAAATTTGATTAAATTTGACCAACATTGCTAACATTTTGCTCATTAGATTAACTTTGTTATATTCAGACCTCCATTTTTTCATGGTAAGCAGACTACAGAATCATGGAGCATTATAGATAGCCCGTATTAACCTCCCCCCCCCCCCCCCGTTGAAGTAACAACGCTTGTAGAATTTAATAGTGTATCGCTACTTATATTAATGTTTATCGTAAGCGATTTGCCATTCGTTAATGCGGTTTTTTGATATGTTTTCTCCCGTGGTATCTCGTGCAGGCCTGTGCATGCCATCGCCGATCTCGCGAGGTGTAAGTACTCCCCTCCAGTAGCAGTACGTAATTCGCAATGTTCCCACTAATTTTTTTTTTACATTAGCGACAAAGCGAGAACACTGCCGATTAATAAGAGCGCATGATCGTTTGATGTTTTTGCTGTAACAACTAAATTGTAAAAATTAAGCACAGCACAGCGAACCAAGACAGCAATCACGCAATTTCCTCACGGAGTTCCAATATAGTTTGAGACGATTCCTAACGAGATAAGCGTACAGTAAATATGACTACTCACTCGCTTGTATTGCATTCTCGTATAACCGGCTAATCAGCAATGCGCACATTTCGATTAATCTTTATCAAGCCTCTGATGAACGTGAGGGATCGTCAATAATCGATTGCCTTCTTTGCGAACAAATTAACAGACATTTTTCATGATTTTTTATGTTTAATTTTCACTTTGTTCTTTTTTCTTTTGGACTTAATTCCTGCACGGTAGCTGCACCGCACTTACTTTCACATAATCGTTGACGCAATTAAAGAAATTCACACGGATGCAAAATTTGGAAAATACTGTTGGTCGGAGAATTTTAAAGGCGAGTTTTGCGACGACTAGAAAAAATAAATATTGAAAGAGAAAGAGAGAGTTTATAGTTCGTCGTTATCCATGTCACGTGGACGGAGGGAGTTTGCTCGCCAGCCGAGAATCTCTAAATCATTGCTGAATACCCGGCTTTGCAGATTGACTGAGACGGCGAGGCTGCTGAAAAATGTTAAAAGTGTTTTCACCAGGCGCTCAAACGCCGCCTCCAGAGTCAATGTCGAAGTGGAGCTATCACGTAAGTTGTCTTTTCCACAGAATTCACGCACGTCGGGGATAAATTCCTATTTACGGTGCCCGGGCGGTTTCTCCTGTCTCTCTCTCTCGGGTTACATATAAATCTATGACTTCGCGAACCTCTTTCTCACTAGGCGAATCACGATTCTAACGTACTTTCTCGTACTTTATTCTATACTTGAGCACGCGCTTGATTTCTCACGGCTTTCCGTTTCTCGTCCGTCCGTTCGTCCGTCCGTCCGTCCGTCCGTCCGTCCGTCCGTCCGTAAGCTTTACTTTATTCGACGAGTGCCGTCCTAAATTTCGAACGAATCTACGTGTTTTCGATAAATTAATAATTAAATTGCACATTTTTGCACATGCACCGTGCTATCTTATAGTTAAAGATTCTATTCTTTTTAACAGTCGATGCATATATATGTATTGTGCCAGGCGTTCTGAAAGTCGTACACTTCTCGGTTCGTTTCTATCTTCTTTGTAGATTTCTCAAGAGCTATAATCGAGAGATGTGCCACTTCTAAATTGCTCTGTACATATATATCGCTGTAGTTTTATTTAGTGGAACGATCTGAAACTAGAAAATAATCTATTTTCCTTTTTGCTATAAATAGCATATGCGCTTTACTGGATCTCGATAAATGCTGTACAATAAAAGCATTTTTTAAATTTCCGGCTGCTATAAACGTCGTGTCTAGTAGTGGGCTAGCGTGCTTGAAGAGTTTCGCATTATTATTTCGAGTGCAGAACCCAAAATTTTTGAAAATTCTTCAAGACTTTGCAATCGAATTGAATTGTATAAAAATTTGCGAAGGGAAATGCTCATTGCTAAACACGACAGATTATGCGATAGATCTCTGATATTTTGCATGCTCAATTGTTGAACGTTTTCACGACAGAAATTAATGAATTGCGACCTTTGTTATTGCGCATGCTGCGCGATGCAGATGGTTTCGCGTTCTCGCAAGAGGAAGGCGGCTCGGTGACCCAGACAGACGTGATCAGAGCCTACGACACGAATCTTCCGAAACCCGGCGGTATGTGATTTAAGCTGAGCGATCGTAATGCTGCGAAATGCTGCTGATGACGAGGCTGCTGTCTTTCGAGCGGCCTGAGAAAGAAGGCTTTGCGTGTGCGGCTCGGCTACGCTTCAGTGTTTTACTCGGCTGACGTTCGAGGGGAATCGTCAGATGGATTGATATTCGATACGAAATTGGATCGAGGATGAACTCGAGGACACCAGGAAGACTCGAGAGGCTGGAATACACTCTTAATTAGTCGCCAATTTTCGCCAATTAAAATCTAACAATCGACATTTTATATAATTTCGGATAATAAAAAATTTCACTCCACTAGATTTATTGCAAGGGAAAAGAAGGAAGATAAAACTATATATTTGTAACTTTACATGCTGCATGTCAGCGACCAATTAAGGGTTGATAAACGTTAATGTTCAAATGAAAGATTTTTCTCTAAATTACTGCGATCAATTTGTAGAAGAAAATTCCGATATTAGTACTAATAATTATTTTGATACTCCATGAAATTTTATTCTAATACCGTAAAGACCTCGTTCTTAAAATATCGAGTAGTGACGTATTCGCGCGGAATCGGTGACGCAGCTGCGTTTTACCGTCATGCATTTGGAAATGCATTTCGTATTAGTGTCAAAGTTATTGTATATGCAGAGTCCTATTAAGCACCGAGGAAACCGTTTACGTCTATTCTCGTAGAACAGAACGCCGCTCTACTTTTTCTGTCAAGGAGCAAAGTCATGTAAATTGCGCAAAGTTGTCATTGCGATCTTGAATGTTACTTCAAAACTAACAAATATATATATTTGTTCTGTATATGAAGAGAAAGAAATTCGTCGTGCAAGATAATCATCCAGAAGCGCACTCGAATGGGCTCTCTCTGGAATTGTGTGAGTACTTCTATATATATATATATATATATATATACACACACACACACAACACACAGGATGTTTCATATACATATATGTGAGACATGTCTCTTATGTTATGAAACACCCTGTATATAAATCTAAATTTGTACATTTCAAAAATTGAGAAAGAGCTGCGATCGCAACGCGGTGGAGGATTACGTTCAATTTCGTGCCAGAAAAAGACTGTTTCCCTTGTTCTATATATGTTCCCCTTGTACATATATACATACATATATATTATGTTACTCTTTATTTTTTTAAATGATAACGATATACTTTATTAATGTACATACACGAAACTACGTTGTTATCTAGTCAGAATCTAATACCGATCTCTTCAGTTCAGAGATTCACTCTTCCGCCCATCACAATACACTTTTTTTTAATTTTATGACTGATAAGTTCAGTTAGAAAGAAAGAGATA